AAATATCCAAACCATATATTTGAACATGAAGTTTATATATTAAACCTTTTAGCGCTTTTCCCTTCTATCTCAGGAATAGTTGAAAGTCATTCTTTCTCAGCTCTTATCGCCATTATATGCGGTGATGTTTGCTTCTGCATTGAACTGCGCACGAATCTTTTATTCTGAATCACTAAATTTTGAACAAACAAAATGAATATGTACGAAATGACACTTTAAAAAAATTGTGAGGATTCGTGGACAGTCTTGCTGAAACATCCAGACCGAGAAAATTTCGAAAAATAATGGACGAAAAACATGAAGTCGATCACGAAGTCGGTTGCACCAAAAGCTTTTGAAACATTTAACTTTTGTGGTTCCAACCAATTTGTTCAGTTCAACAGTTCCCAGGAAAAAAAATCAAGGGCTTTCTGAGAGTGACTGTAACAAAAATTCGTTTTGGTATATCTTGTAATAAGCTGTTTAGGAGATACGCCCATTCTTTGAACAATGTTTTTTTGAAAGCTAAAAGGTCCGAAAAATCTATTTTTGTTTTTGCTTGATGTAACGACTTACTTTTATGATTGAAAAAACTGTGATGATTGTGTTCATTTATTGATGTTCATGATTTTCGACTGTTTAACTCTACTTTTCGCTTTTTTCGGATTATTACACAAGTAAAATAAGTTGTAAAATAGACACTTGCTGGGTGTTACAGAAAAAAAGTATGTAAAATAAATTTGGACGATTTCTGGGATATTTCTCATGTGAATTTTCTGTTTTTTTTTGTTGCATTACTTATGAAAGAACTTAGTGCATTGCTACACGAAAGCGAAAGTGGGCTTTCTCAGTATAAAAGCAAAAATTTATGATTGCTCGTTACAAACGAACGTACCATAACGATGCGCATAGTCTCATTGAAGAAGCTATGAGAAATGTCTGTGGACGTCGCCTTAGCAATCCTAATGACATCAGGCAGGAGATGCCATAGCGTCTCGTCTAGAATGTGTTTGCTTGGTTACGTCACATTACCTGCTTTTGGCTCGGCATTTCGGCCTTCTTTTGGGAACGACGAATTCGAGCACCAAAGTGTGTGCCCGAGTGCGAATGAGCCACATTGTTTTTCATTGCTGCACTTTCGCCACTCGGATTCTCTATTGCCAATGGCCCACAATTGAGTTTTCTGCAAACTCACTCTCTTTGTCTTTTATTGCCATTGAAACTCTCTGGGTTGAGTTCAAAGCTATGCTGACATTTTGGCACAAAATTGGTGTTGATATATTAGGTTGCATAATAAGTTCGTTCGCATTTTTTGTTTTACTTTTTTCTCAATAACAATGATCTTGTGAAATAGGTTGTATAGATTTTGAAAGCTCTAAATCTACTCTACAATTTCATATGCGTCTTCTCTAATTTTGCTAAAAAAATCGAAAAAAATTCCGGCATTGAGAAAAAAAATCCGAGCATGCAAAATGTCCAGTTTCGATGTCTATTTTCTCTCCAATTTTCCCATTTTCTGTTGGCAAAAATCATTCAAAAAGCTTGACAAAAAATGGAACAACCTATTAGGCTCTTATGTTTCTACTGTACTGTTTGTGCTCGCTCCCTTCCTTCTAGAGGCTTTTAAATGTCATTTTTTCAGAAGTCGGCTGTGCAAGACTTTGTCGGGGCGAAGTTGGTCGTCCCGCGTACCTAAGCTCTGTGACCCCCCCCCCAAACTTTAATTTTCTGAGCGAGCATATACTCGACGATTTTGAAGCTGTAGACCATCCCTTCGGTCTTTTCTGGATTGTCCGTTTACAGTCTTCTCTCAAGACTGCCTTCAGATGCCGAACATCAACGATGAAGAGACGTTAGGAAAAAGACCTTTTCAGAGTTTACAGAAGTAATTCTCGAAACTTTTTGGCACTTTTGAAGCGTGCAAAAGCTAGATACAACGTTCTTTCTCCTTACACAAAGCGGAGTTTTCGAGCGATTCTGAGGTTAACTAACTTTGGAAGGCGTCGTAATATAGTTGTTGAAAATGAATTTTTTTCTGTTTGGTTTTCCGAATTTGATGCTGAAAGTCTTCTGATTTAGGAAAATGAAGCGAATCTGGTAGAGCAGACTTAGAGCTTTCAAATGCTTACATTTTTGCAAAATGCCGTGCAAAATATCAAGAGAAAATCAAAAGAGAAATTGCGATAGAACTTATTACACAACCTAATACTTTTCGAATGCAAATCATAAAAGCCTCATTCTAGGGCAGAAGAGGAACGAAAGATGAGAGATGCTTGTGATGATTTTTTCTGATAGTTTTCCTAGATTTGAATAAACCCCTATTCCGCATTTGAGTATAAAGCTAATGTGCTTAGTCTATTCTCTCGTACTATGCACTGTATTTATAAGAATAATTACTATAGCTGAGAACTATCTGAAAGTACAAATCATCTCATTATTTTGGTGAGAAATTGCGATTAGACAATGAATAATCGGAACTCTAGTCGTAAGCAAACGTAAAAATGATAAGAATTTTCTTTTATAAGGCTCGAAATTCGACTCCTGTTTTTATAGTAGTCATGGTATATTCAATAATTTTGCAAAAATTTGATTGGAAAATTAGTATTATTTTTGTGACGACAAAACGATGCAGCACTCTTGGACATTCTTCTTACTTTCTTACCCTAAAACTCGAATTTTGATATCTGGGCCCTTGCCAGAGATATTGCCCTTCGCTTTGATTTTGCATCCTACAAATTAAAATATAAAATAGCCTGTTCTCAAGCACAAACCATGTTTTTTTACAAGAGATTACCACAAAAAGTCTTCTTTCCCAAGGCTTCCTTCTTGGTATACTAGCTCTCGTCACTGTCCATAAACAAGGGAAGAGTTGAAATCCCAAGAGACTCAGCCGCTGTTTAGCAATTTCAACAAAGCTCACAAGTAAAATACTTGGCATAAAGCCGAATTATTCTGAGTTCGCTTTCGATAATCATTAAATTTTCTCAAGATCTGCAGTAATGGTAATTTTTGCCTGTAAAGTTTTTTTGTAAATTTTTTACAGAACTGGTTTTGATTTTTGGGTCTAAATTCTTCTAACGTCTTTATAGCTTATATGTAGGCTCATTTTATTTCCCAAAGCAGTGAGTAACTCGACCTGAATATCCGAGTATTAACTGATCTCCTCTGTTTCTTTTACACTGCTCGTTTCTTCCTTTTCCTGTTTTGTTCTGCCATTTTATGGCAATTCCTTACAATTAGACTGATGGATTCCAACCAGTGGCTTACATATATTCGTTTGATACATACGCCTTGCACCAATAAATAAGTCTTTCCATAGCTGCTCTAGAAACTAATCATTTTGCACAATATTTTCCCCGCCATAATAAAATGTGGTATTTTGTAGTACACTCAGAGAATTGATCTGATATAAAATCAAAACGAGAATAGAAAAAATCAAATCATGATCACTTGCACATTCGAATTTCACAGTACGTAAGAGCAGGTTACATAACCAAAACTCAAATTATTAGGTTTGTAAATGAATTCTGCAACTTCTTCCACAATTCTTCGCTAACCAAACAAATTCGTGTTTATATGGATTAGGTGGGGTTTTGAAGACCTTATTTGCAAAATATATTTTGAATGTTTTCCTATGAACCATATCGCTGCCAAATACCAATAAAGATGTTTACTTTAAGCAGCTATAGAAAACGCGTGTTCTTGTTTCCCCAAATCACACTGATTCGAATGATTTTGTTCTCAATGAAAATTAAAGAGGAGTTTACAAGATTTTTGGTGCAAGACTTATGTATCGGCCTAATATCAGGTTGGCGCAAAAGTTCTTGCGTAATTCAGACGAAATACAATAGATTTACAAATACTAAACCTATATCCATAGTTGGTTTCCTAAAGTAGTAGAAGGCTTGCGCACCATAATGGATGTTCCATAGCATTCTATAATTTAGCCACCGAGAACAAAGGTTTTAAGATCGAGGTTTCAAATTTTGCGATTTTGAGTTCGGCGCTAAAAAATTGCGGAAGGCTGCTAGCTAGCCTTATAAAACTGTAAAGATTACTTACGCAGCAAAAATCATACGTTACTGTGGGAGGCTTCACTCTTGTACGGTGACGCAAAAGCAAAAAAATTGTGAAAAATGTCTTTTCACAGAAAAAAAATCCCCTCATTACTGCTCATTTTCTGAAAAAAAAAACATATTTTGACGCTTTAAGAGACGCCAAAATTTCTCAATGGGCACTATGTCCAATTTTTAGTTCCTTAAAGGGATTTAGAGTGTGAAATGTTAGTTTTACAAATTTCTTGTTTTCGCATTATCGCACAAGATGAGGCCTGCCTAACATATGTGGCTTTTGCTTTGTGGGAAAATTTTTGAAAGATTTTTGGGCAAGCTAGCGCTCTCCGCAATTTTCCAGCACCAAACTCAAAATCGCAGAATTTGAAAGCCATTTTTGAGAGCTTCGTTCTTGGTGGCTAACCTATAGAATGTCACACTTAAACATCTCTTATGGAGCGCGGACTTCTGTTATTCTTCTATTATTTTAGGATACCGAACTATGAATTCATGTTTGTTGAGATGTTATTAAATTTTTTTTGTTATGCAAGAACTTTCGCGCCACCCTAGTAGTATTGTCTCTCAGCTGCAAACTAAGTGTACTTCCTCGACACTTCCGCCTGATGCGCTTGCAGCCTCAAATTTAATCAACCTGAATTCTCAGTCTATAGTACTTCAGTTCCAAAAAACTCAGCTAGCATATGCTCGAGCATATTGACACCTCCAAAAAATGCGCATTTTTAAATCAAGCAAATAGCTCTCGACTGCCCAAAGTCCATTACCGCAACTCTCAATCTGAAGGGCGAAAGTGCAGCAAGCCGTGCTAGGCCTAGACAGGCTGGAAAATGCTGAAGAGGCCTAGAATAGAGGTTCTCGAACCTTCTCGAATCTTCTCGAATCTTCCTATCGCAATCACGTGTGCCATCATGAATCGTGCCGTACTCGTGCTAACTTCTAATCAACTTTCATGCCTTCGCTCATCTCATCGACTCCGCGTCGAAATTTCGTCGCCTTCGTCGTCGTCGTCGTCATATTCAACGCCTAAACATATCACCAATGAAACATGCTTTTCTTACGTAAGTTCATTTTCAATTATTCAAGCACCATTTTGGAGAAATGTTCGCATGCCCCTCGTTTCTTTTTTTTGGCGCTTTCCTCAGATTTTCTGGAGCAAGTTTTTTGGGTACTTTCCCATTATCCGGACCCTTTTTTCCAAAACTTTCTCAGGATTTACGTGCTTCAGCTTAGAAATCTTTTCATAAATCTTGTGAGAGCTGTCTACTTGCCACGTGTCAAGATAAAAATTAACATTTTTGATACCAGTTTGACATGTTTTCAAAAAACATTTACGACAGGGCCGATTTTTGATGACTGCCATTTCGGACCAGATCAAATTTCGCAACATTGAGTTTGCGCAATATTTTCAGGTCACTGATGGGTCCTGTGGTCTGAAGTGTTAATTTTTTGGGAAGTACTCCAAGAGATGTATGCAGAAGTTCCTCGGTTTGCGGAAAAAGTTTTGCCGTGCACTAGCAAAATCAAAAACTTCAGAAAGCATACGACTCACCGGTGGGTCGTATTGTCCGAAATGGCAGGACGCGCACACCCATCGGTGGGTCGTATTGTCGTGAATGTGTCAAATCATATCCGGTGAGGTACCATTTGAAAAGACTCGAAAGCTGTTCAGGAGTCTTTCATAAAAGCAAAGCAGTTTTAGACATTCATTAAAACATCTTCGTAGCTTTCAGGAATGATTTAAGGAAATCCTGCTAAGCGCATTCAGCCGAAAAAGAATTTGAATGATGGCTTGTAGTACCTGGGTGCCCATTGTTTCATGGTTTAGACGATAGAACGATCGCTTAATTCTCTGTTTTGGAAAAACCTAATGTGTTTACCAAACGCAGAAGTTATTTTTGTTATGTTAAAGCTCATTCATGAAACTGTCAACTAGAAATGGGGTCGTTATTGAATAGAAACAGATTGAACTTACATTGATATATAGGCTAAACAAGCTCTTGGTAAAACCTAATGTAGATGGAATGTCAATTTTTTGACACGTGGCAGGAGCTTGACTCCACATTTTTTGAAATTTTTACCAAATTCAGTGCAAGAAAAGAAGCAATACTCGTTTTTGGAAAAAAAAAGGTCCGGAAAACGGGAAAGTACCGTTTTTTATGTAACTCAATTTCCTTATAGAACTTTTTCGAGCTGAAATCTCAGTTTCTTTGTTTGTCTTGCCTAGTTGCTTACTAGTCACAAACTTCTTTTTTTGCTCCAGGCAGTCTCTCATGATGCCTTTGTCTTCTCGTTTTTGGGTGTTTGGTGAACTATTCCCTTTATTTGAAGCAACTGGGATCCAAAAATCAACGAAGCCTTTGAATATTTTCCTTTGTGATTGATATACGGCTTTTTTACGTTTCATATAATGACAATCTTTTTTTCCTTATAATGACAACCGTGGATAAGTGTTTAAGCGAAGCCTCCATTTGAAAACATATCTCGTTTTTCGAGCAAATATTCACTTAATTTACTCTTGGCTTTACTTCGGTCTGGAGTGTTATTTTATGGAAGGCAATGGCTAAGAATACCAATAGATCAAACTAGAAAGGTTCCAAGCTCTTCATGAGATCAATGGCCGTTATTGGACCATTGGGATTTTGTCAATCTTATAAAGCTGTCGTTAAAAGATGAGTGCGTCGAAAAAAAAAACTTGTTTCTATTTTTGAAACCTGACAAATCTATCAGACAAATTACCTGTTCAATCAGAGAGAAATGGAGCCAGCGTTTCATGTAATACCTCAAAAATGTCAACCAATTTTCTTTATAGCGGGTGAATGACGTATGCAGTAGTGAAAATGATATCATTGCATTCCATTCCAAACCTTTTATGGATTTGCCCTATTGAGAGTATAAAAATTAAGCAATTATTGTCAGACGGCTCAAGTACGAGAGATGTTTTGCGTCTGCTGTAGGGCTCGGCAAGGGGCACTTTTTTGGGGGATGTAAGCTGGAATTTATACCAGCTTACAGGACTGTGTAATTCACCTTCCTAATTAGTCTTATGACTTTACGTGTCAAAGAGTATTTGGATGAGACTTCGAAAAACTGTAAGTTGTGAATGACGTAAACCTGACAATTATTCAGAAAGCTGCAATTCCTGTACTATGAAAAGATAAAATTGTTTTCAATGTCAGTGATCGTTACTGGAGCGAACCAAAATGCAGATGAGACCGCTCTATGCCAGGTGTGAGTCCATAAGGTTTGGGCGAGCGTTTGTTAATCTATACTATAAAAGCAGAAACACCATCTTCCTGTTTTTAGTGAAATTTCTTTGATTTTGAGAGAGACTTTACATTCTTTAGATGCATAAAACTTCCAGACAACCTGAGCTGTATGTGGTCAAAATCAATCATACGCTTTGAGAACAAACAGGGTGTCCCAAAAGATGTTACCGTTTGATTGTTAATGACTCTCTTATAACGAAGTCCTTCGAGAACTTTTAGGACATTTTGTAGACCTGGCCTCAACTGAAATTTATATAGCGAAGCACTAATCGCTCTTCATTACTGTAGATTTACAGTTTAAACTTCAAGCTTATGGTATCACCGCGAAAAATGCTGCCGTTTTAAAAACTTTCGAAAAATGTGAAAGCTTGTTTAATAGGGATTTCCATGGACGCTGGGTTCAATACTCAGTTACGCACAAGATTGCGAAGTCTTCTAAACGGTGTGACCGCACTTTCCAAAAAATTGAAAAAACGGCCGATACTGCTTACCTCGCATAACTTTTTAACGAAGCGTTATGATAAGTTGCGAACTCTACATTTATAATCAGCAACTATAATTAGCCTAGTGTAAGAGTCTTAATTGTTTTGTCTCCTTTCTAAGGCAATATGGCCTGTAATAGCTCAAAACCCTCTTCAAATTTCCTACCGTAATCCTACAGTAATGAAGAGGCAACGGTGATTCACCCATACTGTCTTTCTAAGTTACCTACAAAGTGGTATACAAAGCTTCTCGAAAGAATTTATTACAAGGAAGTTACTAACGGTAGGCACATTTCATCGGGACACCCTGTATTTTGAATCTCACGCTTCGTGCAAAATAGCATTTTAGCCTGGTATCTTGTTGAGATGAATGAAGCGGTTGCATAGTATACAGGTTGTTCGTAAAGTTGGTATTCGGTGTTTAATCGTCTACAACGATCTTGTCTTCAGCTTAGATTTACAGTGTGAAAGGCATTATTGTTAGCCATTGGTTAACGCAATAATAGTAGGTTTTATGTCGTTAATTTTACTGTTAGCAATCACTTTCAAAAAAAGCTGGGAAATCTGGAAACCTGTGTAAATGGCTTGCAGGAATGCTGCTCTTATCAAATGAGCTCTCACAACTATATAAAAATGTGTCTGAGCCAATGGTAGGCTTTTATAGACTTCTTGATACGATTTTGGAACGAAAACATTTTATAAAAATACCAAATGAGCTCATTAGTAATACAAAGAATCAGACGAGCTCAACAGTAAAGACCGCCTTTCCGGGCAAGCAGGGGCATGGGACAGATTCCACTAAATCTTTACGCCACTAATTTGAGTGATTATTTCATAGCTAGTCTATACAAACTTACTTCCTTATTTCCTTCATAACTATTTGGTGACTGGACTTGAACTAACTTATTGGGTCTTTTTTGTTTTGTTTTACTCTGTTCCCGATTATGTTCTCATTACTTCGTTCTAGTTATGGCACCCCTTGTGCGTAATAAATAAATAAATAAATAAATAAATAAATAAATATGCTTGTAAGTACATACGGTAACGTTATAAAAAAGAGCGAATGATGAATTATTTCATACAATAATTGAATCCAGCTTTACAAAATGGTAACGGAAACATTCGAATCACCATGAGGCGAGATAATCTTGGAAACAAACGGTATATAAATCCTTTGGGGCACCTTGTATACAAGCTTCTGCCTATTTACCACATTTTCTGCTTCTGCCTGAAATACCAAGCCCGCTCATGATTTTGAAAGACGTTCCGAACTTTGTCTGTACTCAACCGTCGCTTTACGCATCAGTGAGCAACCTCATTGGGAGTGTTGCTCCTATGCCAAAAGTACTTTCTGACATTTGAAGGCGGTCACAAAATGATTGCGGGTGAGAAAGCGGCCCCAATGAGGAACTTTTGGTTTTTCTCCTAACTTCAGGCTAAATGAAGTTGTTGAGCTTCCGCATTTCGCTGCATTTACAAACCATGGTGAAGGCAATGATAGCAAAGGGGATTCTCGTGCTTTGAGACGGTAGGAATTCTGTTGTAAGGAAAGTAAACTCTTCTTCCAAAAAAAATCGAAATGTTTTTGCCTTTTAGCAGACTTGTGATACACACCATTCGATAGAGCAAAGCAATCTCTAAAAATGCTCACCAAAGATCCACTTAAATCGTGATCTAGGTAAACTTTGGAGTCAAAATTTCTCAACTAACTTAAAAATCATATCTCCTTTCAGAAGATTCTTATGGAACCTGCTCCATACAGCAGGCACACAGTAATATATAGTTGCTGGGTTTTTCCGCAGCTCAAAATTAAGGAGCAAAAATAGCCCCAAAATGGAAGACTTTTGTCAGATGCTTAACTTGGTCTCAATTATCAGAGCTCATACAGAGATATACTGAGATCATATTTTCTAAGGCCTAGTATACAATCACATATGTGGAGAGATTCTGGGACGGAGTTTGCCAATTTTTTAGACTATCTTTTTTCCCGATTTCTAAGCAAAAAAATTCAGCTGATGCCTTTAAACACTACTATCATGTATGTATCTGCATAGACCAGTTTAGAGCCTCGTAGGATTTTTTTAATCTTTGGCTCTAGACTTTACTTGGATTACACTTTTATGGATTTTCATTTTTGATGCATTTTGTAGAGCTTGCTTGTCCTGTCTAACTCGCCGTAAGCCTGCTAGGAAAACAAAAGCATTTTGATTTATCTAATAAAGGGGTCTACTTTTGCGACACCTCAATATTTATCGTCTAGGAATGTCATTAAATAGACTCATATGCGTTCCGTTTTGCGAATCTGTTAAC